AAAAAACTCACACAATTTTTAAGGCAGTTAGTGCCACTGACAATCCTTTCTAGTAAAGAAGCTTAAACACATATATTTACTTCCAGAAATATACATTGCAAGAATGAAAAATGTCGTTTTTTGGATAGGCTAAATATCTAGAACTCAAAATGGTATTAGGGAAAAACTAATTATTGTTCTAAGTTACCTAAAGCATGTGGTATGCTTTAGGTAATTTAGAACAATAATTAGTTTTGTTGATTATGAAAAGGAGTATATGAAATACCACTGCTTTTTTTTTAAAGTTAGAACTTAACCCTTTTTGGCCATACAGTCTAGGAGAAAGGCTCCTTAAACTGGAGAATCGGGGCCTTAGAGAAAATAGAGTTATGTTATGATGAAGTAGCCAGATCTCATGTTCAAATCAGTGTGTGCTAGATTCCATTCCATTTTTTGCAAAAAACTTCATTTCTGCGAAGGCTTAGAGAGTACACAAGTAATTCCTGTGTAGGTAAAAATTCTGATGAATGTGACTTTAGACATTTGCTGTTAGAAAGCAATAGAGTAATTGTTTTACTTATGTGTACTGCTGTTTTTAGTTGATTGTAGAGGTAATTTTTATTGTACTCTATTGACTTAGGTCAGCAATTTTGGTTTATTTAAAAATTAGACATGATATAAATAAATAGATAAAAGTACATTGTATCTCAGTTCAAGGACACTTGGAGAAAGCAATTATGGAACATCTCAGGTTTCTAAGATACATTAAATTACAGGATCTGTGGCTGGCCCTAGCCTTTCTATCTGAACATGACCACCTCCCTAAAAGTGATATCTCCATCTTGTTCTTAACTCCATTTGAGATAAATTCCCTCCTATTTCAACAGAAGATCAGCTGCTTCTTTTAAATTACAGGTGCCTGTTCATAGCTGAAAGTAGAAAACACATTTGTGGTATTAACTATCCATTTCTTACTTGAATATGTTTAATTTATAAGAATATGACTCGCCTTGTTCACTTTAAAAGAAATAAGGCTATATGTATGTCCAATAATTAAATGCCCATGTGGCAGGATGATAAATCATTTTTTTTTTGTATTCTAAGTTTTGAAATGGATGTCAATTGGACATAGTTAAGAAAAAGGGAAAGGAAGATGATTTAGTATAAGGCAGCTTTTCCTTGTAGCGTATACCAATTGTCCCTTCATGATAACTATGTATAAACAAACTTAGAAGGAATAGCCATGCAAAAGCTTCAACAAATAGGAAACAAACTCACTGACTAGCAGAGGTACTGGAAAGTCACAGCATCTCAGCTGTAAACATCATCACAGGATTGTTGGGAGGATATAAAATAGAGTTGCTTTGTGAGGGAGATGCGTGGTTTCTGAATGAGAAAGAGATAAAGAGAGATGATGGATGGATGGATGGATGGATGGATGGATGGATGGATGGATGGATGGATGGATGGATGGATGGATGATAGGATCATGGACATCGATTTAAGATCATTGGAATAAAGTACAATATAAATATCCTCTCTATGTCACAAAATTAAGCACACAAATAATTACAATAAAATTGAAAGATAATAAAATTCAGTGGAACAGCTCTTAAAATAGAAGGCAAACATAAAAAGGTTTGATCAAGTGCTATTTATACCTCTGTTAGGACTGTTTCACAATCAGATGTCCATAAAGGATGGAAGATGTAAAATGAAATCAAGAGATCAACTGACTGTAGGGGGATTTAGTTTTCAGTGATTAAGAGAAAGATTGAAGGTGGACAACATTTGGAATTGAACAGCACAGGGCAGAATTTGAAACTTAACTATGTGCATATGAACATGTAACTGCTAAAATTATACATTAGTTGAACTTTGAAACAGAAGAAGAACAAGTGAAAGAGTATGATAAAATGGGCTAAGAACTCTGGATATAATTTATTGATAAAGCTGGGAAAATATGTTGCTGAAAAGACTGAAATGTACATTATGCTATAATATAAAAGAGAACTTTTATAAAATTAGAACAGAGGTCCCCAACCCCCGGTCCGTGGACTGGCACTGGGCCACGGCATACCAGAAACTGGGGCACAGAAACAAGCGAAGCCCCATCCATGGGATGCAGGCAGCACACGAAACCACGCCCCCTCTGGTCCACGGAAAAACCTCTCCCCACAGAACCGGTCCCTGGTGCCTAAAAGATTGGGTGCCTCTGTATTAGAACAAATACCTAGAATGTGTAAAGGTACTTCAAATTTATGTAGGAAATGTAGAGAACATGACAGGTCATTTTATCGTGCTTGGTGGATTTGCAAAAAGTCATAAAATTTGGGGTTCAGATACATAGAATGATATAAAGAATTTTGAAGATTAATATTCAGTTGAAACCAGAACTGTTCTTATTGGTTCTCTTCTCAATAAGAGAAGAGTTGTGGAAGATTGTTCTTGTATATGATGACTGCTGTGAGATTATTATATGCATAAAAATGGAAATACTCTGAAATACCCATAATGGAGGAATGGCTGGTAAAGATGACAGAATTAGCAGAGATGGCAAAATTGACTTGACTAGAGGAAAAACAATAACTACATTTATTAGTGATTAGACTTTTTGCTGAAGGAAGAAAAAATGAACTTTTGATTTATGGGTTTAATAATTAGAAAGGGTAAACAATTGAAAGAAGGACGCTATTTTGTAAATTTATGGAGACAGGGTAAAACATAAATGTACTTACAATTGCTACTAAGAAGACCGGAATCTTTCCCCTTCCCTTCCCTTTCTTCTCTGCTGTATTTCTTTTCACTTTTTTACTCATTGCTTTTCTTTATCTTTCCTTACTTTTCCCTTTTGAAATTCATATTTTTATTCTTTAACGTTTCTTTAATAAAATTATATTTTTTTTTAAAAAAATCAGATGATCATGATAGAAAAGGCTTGTTGTCTGTGTTTCTCATGATGTTGAAATGTAAGTTAGCAGGAAAGCAATGTTGTTTCCATTCAAGATGAAGGTTTCCCTCTTCTCTTTTGCAGAAACAGAAGCTCATATAAGTGTTGCAAATTCCAACACTTCAAATACTGTTTAATCCAGCTACATTATTAAACATATGCTTCATATTTTCTAGTTGAATTTATGATCCAAGAGTATTAAGTTAGGGTACGCAAGCTGGTACCCATCTTATGTTTCAAACTACAGCTCTCAAATATTTTGAGTCTTGACTAAAATGACAGTTATAGTCTGAAACATCTGGATGTATCCTTAAATCCAAGAAGAAACTGTTACTCATTTGTTCTTATGGCTTTTTAATATCATTTCTTTAGTTTTTAGAATTTTTTTCAGAGAAATAGGTGTATTAAACTTTTGCTGTGAAAATGCCAGTGTTTTGACACTGTAAATACTAAGTTACTTATTATAGCAAACATTTGCATTGAGTACAACTTAGGATTCAGAAATCTTGTGCCATTATGTATATTTAACCTCTAAGGCAGGGCTTTTCAACCTTTTAACCCATTATACCACTTTTAGGATATGGCAATATATCCGAGTACCACCAGTCGCCTAGCAAGGTGTCAAAAACTTGATGACAAAAAAAAAGGAAAAAAAGTGACGAAGTACAGGTAGTCCTCGACTTACAACAGTTCGCTTAGTGACTGTTCGAAGTTACAATGGCACTGAAAAAAGTGCCCCCAAGCCACAGCTGAGCAAGACACCTGCCTGCCCACCCAGCGGCACTCTTTCTCCTGTCCGAGGTTTTCATTGTCATGAGCATTTCTGTTGAGGATTGGCAGCGGGGGTGGGGTGGGGGGTGTTTGGTTTTTATTCCCCCCATCTGCTGGGTGATTGCACCAGGTTTTGGTCACTTCACATGACCCTGGGACACTGTGACCATCATAAATATGAATCAGTTGCCAAGCATCTGAATGTAAATCACAAGACCCTGGAGATGCTGCAACATTCCAGCTGATCGGTGCTTCTTTTGGGCTCAGCAGAAGTGCCAGGATCAGCGCCGTGCTCCAGCTGGAGCCTGGCGCTGATTCTGGTACTTCCGCTGAGCCCTGACAGCCCCGAAAAAGTGCTGATCCTGGCGTTTCTGCTGAGCCCTGACAGCCCTGCAGCTCCAGCCATCTCTCGCTCAGGCTTGTGTGGTGCTGCACCGGTTCAGCTCATTCCCTTCCCCCGCTACCACTTTTCTAGGATGGTCGCGTACCAGGTGCCAATGTACCACAGGTGGTACCCATACCACTGGTTGAAAAGCCTTGCTCTAAGGTGCCACAAGGTTGTTGTATGCTGCAGGATTGTTTAATTGTTCATAATGAAATATTTTTACCAATCAACGTTTCAAAAAATTCTGCACAGTGCAAGATGAGCCTAAAGACCTGCATGATTGCCCTTAAAATAAAAAATAATTGTATTTGGTGAAATATTCCCAAGAACTGAAATGTATGTACATTATTTTTGGTTCTTGGTTAATCTTACTGAGTTTTCGGTTCAGAAAAAAAATGTATTCCAGAAGAAAGAGCTTTGAACATTGTTATCATCTTGGAAAATTTATTCTGAAATGTGTATCCACTTTAAAAAATTTTTAAAAATGTAAATAGTGCAATACATATTGTATTGGAACACGCAACATGAAAATTATACTATAGTAATGTACTTGCTGGTAGTGAAATTTAATTCAAAATGTATATTCATGTATTCATTAAATACAGAGTACTTTGTTTTATCCTTTTTAGTTAATTACACATCACACAGATGAATATTTGAAACCTTTTAGTGTAGTTATGTTGTAACTGTAATAAAATGGCTTAATATTTTTAGTTATCTGTAAATGATGGGCTAATTTAAATCAATTAAACTGTTTCATTGATTAGAGGATACCAATATAATTTAAGTAACATAGTTAAATACGCCTTTGAAATCCAGTTCATGAAACTACAGAATCCACAATGTTTTCTTAAACATTCTGCATAGAGTTATTTCTGTCCAAGCTGATAATACTCTGCATGTGTTTTCTCACAGTTGCAAGATGCAATCAAGGCTAGCAAAGGTGTGACTTCAGCTATTGACCTATGTCGTTGCCATGGAAACAGCGCACTGGAAGCTCTAGAATGTTTCCCTCCCTCTGAGGCCAGATCTGCCTTAGAAAACATTGTTTACGCTGTGACAAGATTTTCATAATGTAGAATTGGAAGAAAAAAAAAACTGCTGTTCATTTGTGGAAACGAGCCAAACAGAACAGGTGATTGCAAAAGTCAGATCTGCCATTGCTAGGGATCCAAATGCAATTGTGGCTTTAAAAAAAAAAAGTGTTTCTGTTCCATTCACTACATTCCCAAATGAACACATCTCCTTCAGAACTGCTACAAACAAAATTAGGGGAAAAAAGGTCAAACAGTTTTCAGTTGTCATGCCAGAAGCACACTTGAGGCTGCACTGGTAGAAATAATTAATGACACTAGCTTCTGTGACCTCAGCAAATGGACAGGAAAGAAGTCCTTATTGATTGGACATAGTCAGGGATGGCGCCAGCATGGTGGCCTGTGGTTTTCCTACAGAAGAGAAGACAGAGGGGGCCATGAAGCTGCAGGTGTTGGGAGCAGTGGTTTCCACGTTTATTAGAAAGCTGGGTGCTTAAAAGTAGAATTTATGTAGCAATTTATCAACACAAAAGGGAGCTTGATGAATTGGCAGAAAGGAGCGGATTTTTATCCGACTACACCAAACGTTTCTGTAGGAGTTTTTCTGTGCACTGAAATATAAAATAGCCTTATAACTATTATGTTTAAACAGGTCGCTGAAAGAGCATTGTAAGTATGGAAAGCCCTTATTGTGATGTTGAATTGTTTTTGAAATTCTGTTCTGTTCTTTTTTTTGTGCAATTCTGATTAAAAAATGGAGCTTTAAACAGTGATTGCTTTTTCTATATTGTACAAAAACAAATACTGTATTTTCTTACATTTATCAAGAAATTTACTCAGTTTTCATTTTTGCCAAATGTTAAATCAATTTTTGCTTCAGTTCTCTATCATAAAGGATTAAATGATAGTTCTTTCTCTCTTCCCTCTGTACAGGATTTCATTCCCTGAATGGATGTATAAGAAGTGTTTTAACCTTACTGTGTCAAATGTTAAAGTCCAATTACAGAGAGAATACATGGTATATCAGAAGCCTGCAATCAGACACTGTCTCTATTTTGTTCATAGGAGATGAATTTTGTGGTTTGCATGCTTGCAATCTGAGAACATCGTTGACAAGAAGGCTGAGTTTACATAAATGATCCAGATTGAGACTCAGCTACCTTTCTTCCTTGTGTGGTGTAATTACAGCCCAATCTGGAGACAGCTAGCACAGCAAACAGATTTCATTACATTGCTCTTTCAAACACTAAGTGGAGTTATTTTAGTTAATTTTTTTTCTCTGTGTCTCTCTAGTGATGTGTCATACACCTTCTGCATAATGGCAAATATTTCACCAACAGAAACATTATTTTTTAAAGTTGAAGATTTAGTTTCACTTATGAGATGCACATGGGGAATTAATGCATTTTCAAACCTTGACTAGCTAGACTGGACTTCTAATACTTTCCTTGTTTACAAAAATATTATCACACTATTAGTATTTAGTAATTACATGAATAAATCAAACTATTTCAGTCCTAAGGAACATTCAATTTTGAAGGAAGGATGGACAGATGGATAGCATTTTTTTTGTTTCCAATATATTTTATCATTAAGGATTACTTTTAAAAAATTAGCACATGTAGCATAATAATTTGAAATTTATGAAATTATTATCAACATTAACTACATGTGCCACCAATCTAATCTTATAGCAGTCCTTGTAATAAATATGTAAATAGTACCCACAAAAAGGACACAAAAACATTACAGCTAAATTATTAAGATATTCAGATTCTGATAAAAGTAGATGGGAAACTGCAATAGCCACAAAATTGTCAGAATTTTTAAGTACTTCAATTTTTATTTAACAATATTGTCTTCTTAGCCTAACAATTGCTTGATCTATGGAGGACTTTCCGGCTATAGATACATATTTATCATCTGATAAGTTACACAATGGACCTCAGGAGGAAGTTATGTCATGTGAACAGAAAACTGCTCATGCAATCTTAATTTTTCTATACTTTCAGGAATCTGAAAATAAGAGTGTTTGGTATTATACTGTAGTATTTAGCTTCCACTACATTTAAAAAAAAATCTGAACTGGATTCTGAATCTTCAGAATAATTTAAATACACCAAATGAAATATATTGTAAGTCACCCAGAGTTACCATGTGGCAAAATAGGTGGCTAATAGGTGGGAGCTTTGTACTTCAGAGGGGGCGGATATGTGGCTAATGATGTTGTGATGACATTGATACTTGTCAATAGCTGTTCCTTGACATTGACATTTTAGAAATCATGCTTAATTTTGATATAAACTTTTTATTCATCTTTAAAAGTTTGTTTTCTAAGTATTAATGTTAATAATCTCTAGTCAATATTGTATAAATACTGTACTCAATATAATGTATTAACTGTGTTTTATAATAATAAAGTAAAACCAAAGAAGAAAAAAGCTCCCCTTGATACTTGTACAGGAGTACTCCATACCATACTTTTAGGCAGAGGACACGTGCTAGATCAAGGGAAGCCGCCAATCTTAGCACCTAATAGCAGTAAAAATGCTTTAAAGAAAATGATCATTTTCTCATGGAAATAATTTCATTTTAGAGATATGTGAAGATATCTTGGAACAGACTGAAAAAATAATGCATTGGTAGGCAAAATCAAGTTTTATTGGAGAGTTCAGTGAAAAACATCTGCCAATTGAACTCTAGGAAGTTGACGATATATTTGAATAGATTTTCTGTCATGCCTTACAGCTGCAAAATCATAAGTTGCCAATTTCTATACAAACTCGCTTCTAATGAAGTTTTCTTGCTCTGATATGTAAACCAATATCTAGTTCAATATATAACTGAAGATTAAAAAGGGCAAGAAAATCAATTATGTAAATAAGTATAAATTTAAAAATGGTACAATGCATCTGCAAGAGATAACATATAACAGTGATGGCGAACCTTTTAGAGACCGAGTATCCAAACTGCAACCCAAAACCCACTTATGCATCGTCGGGTGCCGGGTAGGTGTGGCCCATTGGCTGGGCGTGGCCCATTGGCTGGGTGTGGCTGCGGTGGTAACAGCAGACTGGGTGGGACTAAAAAGTTCAATCAATCAATTCCAACTTTGCAAGATTTTTTTTTTCCCCGCAAGAAGTTGAAATTGACTGATTGAACTTTTTTTTTTTTGCACACGGCGGTGGAAGCTTAAAGCGAAAAGGTTTTATAAAACCCAGCTGAAGGCCTAGGACTGGGGCAACGGCATGCGTGCCCACAGAGAGGGCTCTGAGTGCTGCCTCTGGCACCCATGCCATAGGTTCGCCACCACTGACATATAATCTTCCAGTCAAAGTTTGCTGATGTGTATTATAATATTTCTACTTATTCATAGGATTTTTAGATCTGATTTTATTTTATATTTCAGGCATTGGAATCTCTAACTGAGAGCAAATCATCTCTGTCACCTGAATCTATGAGGGTTTCTTTCAAAAAACTGTTAACTATTTTAGGAAACATGATCAAGTGGCTCAGTTCTGTTGGGAATGTGTTAGAAAGCACTCCATTTCCTGAATTAAGTTTTTCAGTCTGTAATATTGTAATTAGTACAGGCAGAATGCAGAATCTGATCCATTCTGTAAATCTTTTGAGATAGCTGAAACCTAACAAAAACAATCAGCAGTGTACTGCTGGAAAATGTAGCACATTCCTTCCTAACACATCTAACTCCTACTGACCTTTCTTATGTTTACCTTCAATGACAGATTTTTTTTCCTAAGAGGCACACTATTTTTATGGTACATACAGAGTTTTTATTCAATGTTTCTATTAAAACACTTCATAATGAAAGTGTCTTGGGTTACTTCTGTCATCCATTAGGAGTGGTATTTTATTTTGAAAGACCTGGGGGTGAAATCAAGTGTTTCCATATATAATTATTAACAAGGGACTCGTAAATACTTCTGTATTAGGTCAATGTATCCTCTATACCCATGTTTATTGAAGGATTATTAAGAAATGAAATATTCAAGCATGTAACAATTCATCCTCTAATTCTATAGAGTGTTTTGAATGCAATACAAAACTTGGTGGCCTTGATCAGTAAATTCACATGGCTTAAATCTAAAAGAAAATAAATCTAATGAAGTGGGAATGAGTATATATTAAAATAAAATACGTTGTTTTTGTAATTGTTTTTCATACTCTTCTAAGATTACTCATATGCTGTATTATGGTCAAAGATCCACATAAGGAAAGGGGGGTACAAAGAATTAAAAATCATAAAAATGCATCCAAATAAAAAATATTAAAATTCACATTAAAAGCTGAAAATATATTTTTTTGTATGCATATTGTGTTATACATGTATTATGATCTACATATATCCTATACCCATTTCCTGCTCCTACTCCTCCTCTTTGATTGCTTTTAATTTTTTATTTCTTTTAGCTTTTTAATATTTGTTATTAAATAAAAATATGTTTTATTCTGATGTATCTTTTATGCTTCTTAATTGTTTGTACCCCGTTATCCTTTGACAGTAATAAAGATTTGATTTGGTGATATGATATATAAAGTCATTCTCTGCATTAGTCAAAAGAATACTTTGGCTCCCCCATGTGTAACAGATTCTCTCACATCCACAAAATTTCTGAATAAATTATGTCAATGCTTTTTTAATGCTTGTGCTTGAATAATTCTTCCATAATAGAAAAATTGAGTGTCGTTTTTTAAACATCTTTAATTATACTTGTCAATAATATATTATTTAATTGTATAACTTGTGCTGCTTGATAAAGTACATCATTTTGTGAACACCGTCCATTTAAAATATTTTGCTTGTTGCAATATAAGAGATTTGATAGTTTTGAAAAACTGAGGGTGGGGATAGACAGAATTTTATCTCCCTTCAAATCAACCAATGAAATTGATGGCCAAAATTGTGGAAACCTTTTGGGGAAAGTGTATTTTTGAGGTTTGATGGCTAATAAAACCACTTTTTTGGGAGTAGTACCATAAAATTATATATCAATGGAAAGATAATTTAATCAAGAATGTAATGCAACAAAGTTTGTTCAATTATCTGTACTGTATTCTATGAAAAGTTATAGCCAAATAACCAGAAAAAGGAAGCACAACTTGCTTAGGTTGATATCAGGTAGCTTTCCTTCATCTGAT